CTTACTAGTGACGTCATTGTTGATAACAAAGTTTAGATGATAAACTGAGTCTGTGGATTGACATTAGAAATACCCTGTTCTGTTTTCAGTCCTGCAAGAAATTTAATTTTTCTCTGATTCTTGTTAAAGCTAAGATGTGCTTTCTGTACAACTTAGCTGGCGACGTCATGTTTACACTTCTATGCATTTGAAGCATTTCTATGCATTTTTTAGTGATTAAACTGCTAGAAACAAAGTGTGAAAGGTTTGTCTTAGTCATTTTAAGAAGTTCTAGCTTCAAAGGCATAGAAGTTAAATTATTTATTTATATTAGTTGATGAGCTTTTTATTATTTTTGACTTTTTCTGCAGTGGAGACTAAGAGCCTTCTTCCATGCCTATCATAGGTTTTACCAGGTCCATAACGGGATGAAACCTGATAAATCTAAGACAGACTACCCATGAAAAATTCTTCTGGGAGATGCTCACCCAGACTTGATCCTGGATCCCCTATAGCAGAAGGCTGACATCTTAACTACTTTAGCCATCTATCCATCTGACATCAACACAAGCTGATAAGCTTATATTATTAAACTTTCATACACCTATAAATTGTTTTGTATTACATGAGTTGAATTATGTTAAACTAAATATTTTATTTAATTCTAATTCTAAATTTATTCTAAAATTCTATTAATCTGTATTTATACAAATTACAGTTTAAAAAAAAGCACATTTATCCATATTTATTAATCATTCATACATTTACAGTACTGTACATAGTTTATTATTATTCAAGAATAATATATTTTTCTATAAAATTTATAAAAGTCAAAATATATCTATGTTCTATAATTAAATGTGAAAAAATCAAATTATTGTAACATCATCACAATACTGAGCTGCAACAATATCAAAAGTGCTCAGCAACTAAATAAAGAGAAACAAAACACCTTTTTTGCCGAGAAATAAATATAATTTTAAAAAACAAACATTTTCAGCCTAGTTAGTTAGTTAGTTGAAAAATGGAACGTAAATGTTACATGAATTAAATGTTCCATGAATTCATGGAACATTTACGTTCCATTTTTCAACTAACTAACTAACTAGGCTGAAAATGTTTGTTTTTTAAAATTATATTTATTTCTCGGCAAAAAAGGTGTTTTGTTTCTCTTTGCTGAGCTGCAATTTTTAATCATATTTTAATTTAAAAAATCATGCAATTTCTGGTCCAGATCAGAAGTTTATATATACAGTAGTTAACTGGGTCCTCTGGCCCTAAGCTTTCCATATGTGGTCTCAATTTTCATCTATATAACTCCACTCTTGAGATTAAGGAAGACAGACATATGATAGTGGGAATCTATATGTCTGCAATTTGAAAATGGAAGCCCAATAATATTGAGGTATTAAAGTAAGAAAGATGTGATAAAATCATTACAATATATAAATTTCATTAACATCTCCATATTGCAGTTGTTTTCAAATCAATTTAATACTTTAGATAAAGTATATTTGTTTTTCAGTATAAATTATATTATGTAAATTATTATAAAAATTCTTTATATTTATTAAAATAGTTATAAAACATCTTTAAATTTTTGACGTCAATATGTGATAAACAATAACATAACCATATGTGGATGTAGAGAGACCAAGTTAGAATTCAATAGGAATCGCTACACATTTTAATACATTTTTGTTTTTAATACTTACATATTAGTAATTTATATACATTTGTTATAATCCATGTCAGTAGTTAACTCCACAATTAAGTTATTTACATTTTTAACAGCTTTTTCATGATAAAGGTAGCTCATAACAAAGGAGGTCCCCTGGTTACACTAGTGATCATAAAAGATATTGTTTTCATTGAAAACAAAGTTTTGAGCAACATAAAACATTCTCAGAATATTTTGTCAATATGTAAAAATTATTAAAATAGAAAAGGGCTTCTTAAACTATGAATCATTACCCCATTTGGGGTCACTTAGCGAAATCTTGGGGTTGCAAGATTTTAATGCAAAATATTGAAAATAATTTGTGAGAGTTTGAAAATGGCACGCTTCGTGTCATAGGTTTCGTGAGTTGCGCTTTGTGTCATAGGTTTTCTGAGTTGCACTTTGTGTCATAGGTTTTGTGAGTTGTGCTTTGTGTCACTTCTGGTGCAACGAGACAACAATTCAGCAACACTGATTGTAGTGTGAACTAGTGTAGTGTTATCGCTTTTCAGTATATTCAGTTGTCTCTGTTCCATTGTAACACAAGAATGAACTGTGGTAGTACACCATTATTGTTTTTGCAAAAATTTGTATATATCTTTATTTTATATTTTTTTGGGGGGTTGCGAAAAAAATCACAACCATAAATGGGGTCGTGAATAAAAAAGTTTAAGAAGCCCTGAAATAGAACATATGAAAAATTTGTAATGGAAATGAAATATTTAATAATATGTTTCAAAAGTACAGATAACAAGCATCAAAAACAAATTGAAAGTGACCTAAGAAATTACTATTTGAAATTTGTGACTATATTAATTAATAAGAAAAAATATCTAACTTAAAATATGAATCTGTGAACAACAAACATGTAATTCAAAAGAATATCTAAAAAAAATTTTAAACAAAATATCAAGACAACTTATTAAAGAAGTAATTTAATTAAATATAATGTTTTTGTAATAATTTTCAAATATTTTTATATTTTCTCTTAAACTTTTCAAAAATTTTTTAAAATTTATGTTAAAATTATACTTTAAAAAATGCTCTGAAAATATATAAACTTGGCACTGTAATAGTGATGAATCAAGAAATAAAACTGCTAGTTTGAGGAAATTCAGCTAATAATGTGATATATTTTTAAAACAATCTATCCTGGAAATGTTCGAGTTTGTTGTTGTTCTATCTTTGCTTTATGTATATTCAAGATGGCCCAAGTAAGGTCAAAAACATTCCAAAATAACTTTTGCTGCCCTTAAGCAGTTTGGTTTCTTTCTTCATCAAAAAAATATTCAATTTACTGTAATACGTAATTAGGTTTTAAATTCATATAAAAATCTTTCCATGCATAGATATGAATAATATGAATATGAATATGAATTCAATACAGTAGATATATGGAACAAATTTTGAATTTACATTTAAAATATTTCAAAAGTTAACTATACATTATATTATCATTACTGGAAATATAACTGCATCAATCAATGACTATGATGATGACAGCTCATATAAATTCTTGAAACATTAAATCTTTTCCAAGTTATGAAAGACATGGACTTAAATAAATATCCAACTCAGCTTTAAACATTTAATAAACCATAATATGCATTTTAAATGTTTTAAAAATACATTCAAATTTCGGTTACACCAGAATATGGCCTATCGTATTAGGTCGAAAATGTTAGTGTTTTGATTAAACATATCTTAGCAAGAAAGGTGTATTGATGATTTATTAAATGACATGGACTTATTAACTAATTTATAAAATTATTACCATTTAATTTTATTAATTTTCTAAAAGTATTTACATATATCATAATAAAATGTAAATTCACCTTATATATTATTTTTAACAATTGGAATTTTATAAATGAGCAAATCGAGACTGATCAAATTAATATTGATGATGAAATAATTAGGTTCTACTAAAATATTTTTATTAAACATTTGAAATAAATAAGTTTGCTCAAAGTTGTTAACTTACTAATATTTCTAACACAAATGACATCATTCAATCATACTATGGCTCAGTGTTTCCCAACCTTTCTGAAATCATGGTACACTTACATAATTATGTAAAAGTTGAAGCACACTTTATTATTAAATATTACTGGACTGGTCAATAAGTCAATCACAGAGCTCTCTCTAAACTTTTTTATATGATAGTTTACTGAACAAAACTTTTGAAATATAGTTGATAACATGCAGAAATATATTTTTACAAATATTAAAAATGTCACTTTAATTTTTTTATTCATCTTGAAGTATACTTAGAATGGCTTCACAGCAATCTGGCTGGAAACCACCATTATTGCTATATTGCCATTGCAACAATTGGAGAAAAATGCAGTAAGTCTCCTTATTGCATTTTTCTCTCCCTACATATATTTACATTTTAAATATATTTTGGTAGAAGTGCATCTAGGTAGCCCCAATAGTGGTACTTCCAAGACTATGGTGTTTAATTATTTAGCCCACATGACTATGACAGCTTAGAGTAGCCCACTTGACTCTTTGTGGAGTACTTGATGTTATACAGTTTTAGAAGGTGTGGGGCTCACCCCCACCCAGGCACCAAGGTGCAAGCGATAGCAAGCACTGAGATACACATCTAATTACAGAGCATATAGAACAGGCAGTAGACTAATACGTGTTAAAAACAAACCTTTGCACCATAGGGCTACCTAAGAACAATTTTACCTATATTTTTTAAAGAACTAAACTATTATGAATAACTGTGAATTTTGTATTTAGCAATTGATACTAAAATTCTTGGCAACTAAAAAGTTTACCTTAATAAGACATTAATTATATGAAAATGACAAGTTAGTTTTAAATGATATCATACAGGATAATTCAAATGGTCTTAGACTAATGTTAAAGGCAGGTTAGGAATACAGAAACAAACAAATCCACTCGAGCATTAAATATGCTTGAGTAGCATTGTTCAAACAATAAATATGTTGTATACCTTATGTGCATTCCTTTCTGCATGATTCTTCCTGTACTTCTAGCAATTCGAAGTGGTATTTGCAACTAAATTTACAGTACCTAAGTAAAAATGGTTTGTTTTTGTATTCCTGACCTAACTTTAAAGTTTGTCTAAGACCTTTTGAATCACTCTGTATATATTACTGTACATGTTTATTTTTGCAGTCCATTTTCTTATTTTTAATAGAACAGATTGTAAAAATTATGTAAGGTATAAATTATCAGCTTTCAGATTGATTATTGAAATTATTGTCATAATAATTATTTTAAATAATGATCCAAAAAATTAAATATTTTAGAAAAACTTTACCTCGGTTTTACTGTTATTCTCGAACATAGTTTGAGCTTTGTGAAATAACTGAGCAAAAGCCGAACTCAAGCCAGTCATTTTCTGTCTACCTTCGTAGGTGATTTCGCATTGGTCCTCGTCGATTTCTCCTAGAAGTAAATCAAGATCAACGAAAGCCTTGTCAAACTCCTTCTCCAATAATTCTAACCACTTCACACTGGAGGCCATCTTAATCTGGCTCGTGAATACGCCCTCTCACGTCTATTATTGAAGGCATATTAAAAACTGCATCGTGTGTTAATTTGTTGCAATCGACTAAAGTAATGTCTCGGATAGTTTCTTATGTCGATAAAATAAGTAAAACTTATTGAATGGATAACTTCTAATTTTAATGTTTATTTCTCCATCCAATAGGTTTTTTTTGTTTTTTTGTTTTAAACTCTTTCCTCTCTGTGGTCACTAACAAGTAAGACGTGCGACTAAATATCCAGATGACACAACGCGCTGATTGGTCGACTGAATGACATCAACCCACCGAAATAGGAAATGCTGGTCGATTATATTTTGTGGTCGTCAGAATGAATTCACGCAGAAATAGATTATTTTTTTAGTTGTAATATTGAGTGAGTATAAAGTGAAAATACAGTATAAAGTTTAGCTCGCATGTTTTCTTAAATTTATAGGAATAATTTTAAAATGGTTTACTTTTACTTAATAAATTTCTAAGATTATTTATTTTTTGAACGAATTTTAACTTCATACTTGATCTTTATGTACAGTACCTCTGAACCAAATCATATACAATAGATAATTTTAATAGTGCGATTAGTGTTTTAAATCTAAATATACGTGCACAGATAATGAATAACAGAAAATTTATAATTTGTTACAGATATCATTCATAAAAAGTTCGAGAAAGGATGAAATTTATATTTAAGACGAGTCAGATTATTTTTTGAATTTGTCACATGCATTTAATATAGTTAGATGAAACAATAAAATTAAGTTTTGTATACCTCTGAAAGAGAAATTTTCACAAATCTTGCTTAACAAATTATAAAGTTTAAATGTAAAAGTTATTGAACAATTTTGAATAAAGAATAGACCTATTCTCCATAGATTACTCTCATCAGAAAAAAAATTTTTATGCTTTAGTTAGGATTGACAGTTCTTTCTATCAATAGATATTTTGTGCTTTTGAATGTCAGTTCAAAATCTGTGTTAAGAAACAGCACTTTTCAAATTTAATATAAAAAAGAAATTTCATGTATCCAGTTCCATAATAGATATACAGTATCTGTAAATATGTTTAATCAAATTTGTATGACCATTTTTCAAATTAAAAGTATAGAATTCTTGTATAAATTATTTAACAATCAATACTATGTAATACTGTAAGTATTTAACTTCCTTTGAATATGTTTTAAATAAGAATTTCCACACATTTCATCATGGAAATTGTTTATCAATATAAGTGCCAGGAAAAAGTAATGTTGCATTTGTACTGTAACGTTTTCATAGTAAGCTATTTTTGTTTGTGTTGCGTAGGAAAATATAAAGCGAAGTGATTAAGTTTCCACAGGATTTGATTTGAAAAGCAAACCAATGGATTAGAGAATTTGTAGAAAAAAATAACTTATTATTTAAAATGTTTTAACAATTATGCATTAAAAACTATGAATTATGTTTAGGTGAAAATTATATTAAATTGTTAACTAATCTGCATTTCCACTTAGCATATTCTGTTGTAATATATATAAAACATTAAATACAAGTTTTTGTAAGGTTAAAAATACTGTATTGTCTAATAAAGAATGTAAAAAAAAACTTAATTTGCAATTTACATTTGTTGTTTTTGATTATTTTATTATTATAGTAAATGTACAAAAATGATTTATTGAAATGAAAAACAGATAAAAGTTACTTCTTGATGTTTAAAACTCTCTCAACATGAAAATCTTTGATGTCACGTAATTTAGTTTAATTGAAATTTTTTCAATGATTTTAACATTAATGTCAATACACACAAGAGCTAGTGAAATTATAAATAAGTGCCTTTTATCGAGTTTTAGATGAAATGTCTATAATTATAACGTCTGCCCACTCTCAAAACTCTTACAAAGTTTAGGCTAATTGATCATTTCCAGTAGGTTGACGTCATTCAGCCGACCAATCAGCGCGTTGTGCAATCTGGATATTTAGTCGCACGTCTTTCGACTACCTATGGTCGCTACTTGCTAAAATCAACTAGAGACAAATGTTACCACCAGGGGCACTGCAATCACTACAAGAGCGCTAAATCGAATCCCAGTGAGGTCTAATGTTTTTATTTTTATTTTTATTGAAAGATATATAACCTTCAAGTTCGATTTCATAATTTTTTATATGAATTTTATTGTAAGAATGAAAAAGTTTTTATTTACACTCCAAAACCAGGTTTATGGATAAATAAATGACAATGAACAAAACTGACATAATAGCCAATTATTAAATTGCTATTATGTCAATTTATTATACATACAAACAAATTATATTATATAACATTATATTAAACATAATAATCATCATTATTATTTGCGCTATTAAAATTTACTTTGAGTAAGAAATTTTTCTGTGTTTTTTACTTTCAGCTGATGAAATAAATGATTAATTAATCGTGAGTGAAAAAATGCAACCGACAGGTAACAAAAAAAATGAAAAATGTGGAGGTCAAGTATGACTTGTGAAAAACTTTGTCGCATCTTATCATCAATGTAACAATACACTAACATAATAATCATCATTATTATTTGCGCTATTAAAATTTACTTTGAGTAAGAAATTTTTCTGTGTTTTTTACTTTCAACTGATGAAATAAATGATTAATTAATCGTGAGTGAAAAAATGCAACCAACAGGTAACAAAAAAAATGAAAAATGTGGAGGTCAAGTATGACTTGTGAAAAACTTTGTCGCATCTTATCATCAATGTAACAATACACTAATTTAATATATCCATTAATCCAGTAACGAACACCTTATTCTTTGCCAAGGGAGCCGTTGTCGGTTTTATCTCTCTGAATTTGAATTTGGCGTTCTATTTTTGTTATTCCAAATTCGAATGTTTCAACCTGAGGATGATCTATGGAGTAGATCGAAAACGTTAGTTTTTAATAAACTCCCTTGGCAAAAAATAAGGTGTTCGTTACTGGATTAATTATTTTGCCGAGTACGTTTCTGTTCAATTATATCCATTATTGAAAAATAAACACCCATGTTTGGTTTTGTTAACTGTACACATACTTTGCTTTTTGTCTAGTATATCAATTGGCAAAGCTTATGGCTTGGATATAAGGATATAACAAACTACCTCGAGATTTGATGAACGTAAACGTCTTCTCTGGTGCAGCATCTCAAGATTTTGCTGTCAATATATTTTTCATTCATCACAACTAAGTGATGGCAATAGAGAATAAACAATGTAACCTCCTAAATAGTGTAGAATAAGCTTAAACGTTTTTGGTGCAAAATAACCATGATCTAATAATTCACTATCAGTATGATCTCCGTGGAACAGGCTCGGATTACAAAGCAAATTTTGTAAACGTTCTTCCAGTTGTACTTGGAAGTGTGTGTATCTTGCAAATATAATGACTAATTGTATAATATTTCTTTATCAATCTTAAAGTATTTATAAGGGAAGGTGGGCCACGGAGAGACAGTTACGATTTTTGATATTTACTGCTCAACAAAACCGTGATTATGTATACAATAAAAATTGTTTAGATCCTAATAAAAAAGACATTATAGTTAATGGCTACAGTGCAATTATTCTACATAAGCTTGCTCTTCAATGTGATGAAAGGTTAATGTTGTTTGGAGCTATAGGATACAATAAGGGTGCGACTATGCAGAGCGATCGAGCGAGAATATGTGGCGAGAAGAGGCGAGACGCGATAAATATCAAACCCTGTCAGATATGTGCGAGAACCAGAAATTCGATCTGGCAGCGATATTTCTCGCTTCTCGCTTGTGCATTGTTTTCCTTTGCAAGAACTCGTTCTCTATTAAATTCGCGTCTGCATAGTCGCACCCTAAAGCTTTTCTATCTGTCGTCCCACCTTCCTTTAAGATTAGATAACAAACATATACTGTATTATCTTTGGTATTATGTTTTCGTGAGCTCTTCTAAGATGGTTCATTTGTTGTTGTTAGACATTGCGTTGATCGTTTTTTGAGGTAAAGATTTACTGATGTACTTTAGGAGAGTTACGACATAACACGGATATGTTTGTTTTGTAAAATTACGGCAACATAACACTTGAGCGATCTGCCTAGGGGGGATGCTCTACGGGAAGTCTTTTATAAGGTTAACTGGCCCCTATTCGGGCGTTACAGACGTGGAGAAAATACGGATAACTCCACGTGCCCAGCCCGTTCTGGCGAAACACTAACCGACCACCGAACGCCCAGTGTTCAGCGAACGGAACCGCTTGGCCACTGGTGGGCCACTTTGATGGATGTGCATCTGACGTTAATGCCCTGCGATCTCGCGGAATTTCTACTTTCTCTCAATTTATAACATGGGAGTAAGTTTTTTAAATAAATTTACTTGTAAAATGTACTGTACGTCACAAACGTAACATTTACTTGTTAGCATCTTGTCGTCTCGTGGAATGCATCACATCCACGCTTCAATCTTATCGCTAGATGCACGGAAGAAATGTCTCTTCTCGTTTGATGACTTATATTCTGCCTTGCATCCTGGCACAAAGTACGCTGACATTTTTACGTAGCATAAAAAAACAATTATTATAGGTCGAAATAACTGACTCACCAGTATATCCAAAGCAGGAAAAAGCTCTTCTGCCAACCAAGGCGCCAACTAGTGGCAAATACTGGCTCTAGCTAAGTTTGAACTGTTAGTGGAAAGACCAGGGCCGTGTTCAGTAAACGCAGAACCAGTGCCGTAACTAGCTATTCTTGTGCCGTGTGCAAGAATTTGCAATTAGGCCCCTTAGTTAATTGGGTTTGGAAAAATAATAAAACAAATACATGCATTTTGGGCCCCCTTCCAAGTGGGCCCTGTGCGGGTGCACCTGTTGTACCTGTCTAGTTACGGCACTGCGCAGAACATCTAAGTTAGAATTCTAAGGGGCTTAATGGGCGGAGCTAAGAATGTTCTGAGCATCATTGAACGATTATTCCAGGGGCGTGCCGTGACATTTGATGATAGGGAAGCTGTGTTTCTATAAGAAGCCGACATCCAGGGGCGATCAGTTAATTCTTTCTTTAAATGTATTTTTAATAGATTATTTATCTGACGTACTTAATAAACAAGTTCATTATAATTACCTCTGTTATTAGATCCAATATATTCCATATGCTCTCT